GGTGTCCGGTCAGCCCCACCAACTCCTCATTTTTTCCTGGTTTTCATGGACTTCTTCTTGCCCTTTCCACGGCCCCCCTGCCCTTCCGCCTGTGGGCGGAGGCTCAAGTGTGGAGACTTTAGGGCATTTGAGGAAATTGTGGTAAACAGTCAAGAACGGTTGAAGACGGGAGTCGGTTCTTGGAACCTTGAGTTGTGCGAGGACTGCTAGTCCTTCGTTGAGGTATATACGGGCACTCTTTTGAGTGTGCCAACGTCCTTGAAGGAGAATGCGATCGAGGTTCTGGTGCCTCTGAAACCAATATGTCGCCCCGCCCCGCCGTAAAGAATACGGGCGGAAGCCCAACGCTTGGATCCCCAGGCCCTCAAGGCAAGAGTTAAATTGGGCTCGCCACTTGGCTGGAGAAGGGGTAAGGGTGGTAGCGGGGGAACAAAAGGCCTTCCAGGCCCGTAAAAATTTCACTACTGGCTCGTAGCCAAGGACAACGCTCTCCGCGGCGCCATGCCTTTTGCCTCCCTTTGTGAGGCCCAACGAGATAAGTGCCTGCAGTTGGCCATCGCCACATTGGATGTGAGAGGACTTTAGTCCCAGGATTTCACCTGTCCTCAACATTGAGTAAAATCCAATTAAAAGGGAAAGAGCGAAGGACGTCCACTGGTGAAAAAGTGCCCAGCCTGCCATGGCCCAAACAATATGCTCAGGCAATGGAGGCGCCCGAGATGGAATCTCGTTGGCTTGCCATGTACGAAGGAGCCTCCATGCCCCCGGCAGGTGGTGCCTGAGGCTGGGTTGGCTGTCCTGCAGTCCAGCGAGCGTGTCACATGCTTGCGCCCTGCCCTTTCCAGTGGCCCAGAGCTCTTCTAAGTAGTCACACACGATGGGGTCCATCTTGGCCCGACTTGTTGGAAGATCAAGCCCTTCGTGCTTGAGGAAGTTGAAAAATTCCTGGAGTGCCTTGTCATAGCGCTTGCGAGTGCTTGGCTGCACCGTCAGTTCTCTTAAAGTTCCCAATCCTCTTCTCACTCTTCCACGCTCCTCTGGTGTAGCTGCTTCTAGGATGCGCTTAGGCATTCCGGTATTTGGTACGAACCCGCCTTCCCCAACGCGAGGGTTTATCGGCGGGGTTGCAATCCGTCGCAACATAAGCCCAGATCATCTGGGCATTGCTACACAACAGAAGAGCGTTTATTCGTGAGATAGTGGATCGGAGTTTTCGGGAACTGGTCCGCCCTCTGGTGAGGGCATGCAGACAAACCAAGCTGTCAGTTAAATGAATCATGCGACATCCCAGGTGTTGTTGATGCTCCAACCTCCATCGTAGAGCATTGAGAATGGCTCTCATCTCCAGGCTGTTGATGTGCTCCTTGCCACGGGTCCAATGCCAACCACTAACCACTTTCCACTTCCAGAGCGATGCTGGCACCGAGGCACGTAACCGATGGTAGCGCGCAAGCTGGGTAGATGGCGTGCTGAGAAGGATGTCCTCCCCCTTCATGCTGATGAGGTTGCTGAGTTTGCGTGCCAAGCAAAGTTCAGACCCAAAGGTCCCACGGGGCAGCCTCATTGGCAATCTCGTCAGACGCGTCTGGATCGAGGCTGCTGCTCCCGGCCGGCACAGGTCCACAATGGCCTGAGGCCCAAGTGGTGGTGCAAACCCTAAGGGGTGCAGGAGCTGATTGAGCAGCCATGCGACGACCGGGACACTCCAACTGTTGCCAATAAGGGTGAGCCGTGTGTCCACTGTTGCCGCCTGTTTGCGTTGACTCTTCGCGGCACAGTTCGCAGTGAAGTTGAGAGGGAACCCCATCATGAGCTCCCGCTCACGGATGCATGGCACTCGATGCTCACCTTTGCTATTGACCACGGTGTGAACGTCCTGGTATTGGTAAGGCGGGAACCGATGTAGGTCGGCTTGCCACCGCGACACTTCATGTGCACGACATTGAGCAAGTCCTGCGGGCTTACGTCCGGGTACTGTTGATGGCCGTGACGTGGTAAAGGTTGGGAAAGGTCTGTCAGGAGCAGCCTTGCTCCAGCCTGGAGTCAACACCTCGCCAATGCCCTGCGAGGCCGTCAGCTGCCAAACACTCGGATGGCAGTCCTTGTCGCACACTGCGCCTGCACCTTCCTGCAACTCCCACGTCGTCCAATACAGGCGGGGTCTATGGCACCACGTCATCCCTCCTGCATCGATGCAGACCGGCTCACCTCCAAAGCTCTTGCTCATGATGTCGCGATCCTGCTGATCCATGGAACTTACGTTCTCCATAAGCACATGCACTGGGGACCAGGTGAAGTGAGCGCGAAGCTCATCACGAATATGTGCCACGTGTACGAACAGGCAGGACCTCTCGTCTCTCAATGCACCTCGACGATCTGAGTTGAGTCCAGAGACCCCCTGGCACGGGGGGCCAGCTCCTACTAGAACAAGGCTGACCTGCGAGTACCTCAGGCTCCATGACCTAACCATCTCTGGGGTGACCTCAGCGACATCCTCAACGTGCTCGACACCAGGGTAATGCGATTCGACAACTCGGCGAGCTGCAGCGTTACTCTCAACCGAAATGTACCCCAACACAGCCGTGTCCTGCAAGTCCATGGCAACACGCAAGGCTCCGATTCCATCAAAGAGCCCAATCAAGAGCACCGAATGCTCCGAACCCGTGCTTGGTAGTCGCCCCCGTAGGTCACCCTTGGACGCCAGATGACCCACTGCAGTGAGTCCCTGAGAACAACAGACGCCACCACCTGTAGTTGACGCGTCACTGCAAGTCACCATCTTGTCCACGTCCAAGCGGAAGTTCAGCCTAATCAGGGGTAGCAGCCCGAGGAACCTCACAATCTCCAAGCGACACTCGCCCGGCATAGCTCGGTATGGGGCATCACTCGTGTTGAAGCTCTCGATGAACTGCCAGACCGCGTTGAGGCTGCCCAGAGTTGGCCGACGAAACATAGCAAAATACACCAGTCCACCGCATACCACCTGCAACTGCTTCTGGCTGACCACTGGCTGCTGCACGAGCTTGAGCGCCATGCAGAAGTATTTGCTAAGCTTAGCCTCCTTAGGGTAAGCCACTCCTAGCTCCCCATCAATGGTAGCGCCTTGCAACTCACAGTGCAGAGAGCGTTGCACCGCTTTCTTCTCATTCCGTGGGACCTGCCACCTCGCGTACTCCTCGCGCAACGCCAAAACACAATGCGATGTAGTGCCCTCAAGATCACACATGCCTGTGCTACGGACCTTCTCCAATAGGTCATAGTTGTCCAGGTATACACGCCAGGCAGGGTCAGCGACGGTAAAAGAACGGTCCTTTCTTAACTCAGCAGCCTCTACATGAACAGCCATGCCTTCATGTGACGACCACTGAACAAGGTTGCGGTGCACATTCTGGGCAAGGCTCACCGAGTTCAAAAACCCCATGGGTAAGACCCTAGACGCAAGGTAGACCGACTGTCCTCTCATGTGCTGAGGCAAGCACACGTCCGGAACCAATTTGTTGAAGGCAAGGAACTTAACCCACTCAGTTGGCACCCTCATGGTATAGAAAAAACACTTCACATCTTCAGAAGAAACCAAGAGATTCTCCCCTGGTTGAAGAAAAAACGGGTTCATCATTCCCCATGAGGGTAGTGTGTCAACGTCTCCTGAAACTGGTTCACATATAGCATTGAGAGGTATGAGATTCATGATGAGCCGGCAGATCTCAGTTCCGTCCGGAGTCCATTCCTCCTTCGACACGGCAAACATTCCGTTCAGCAATGGTGCCTCTCCAGTGTGGAAGACCATCTCCTCCTCGATGAACGTGCAAACCCCAGCTTCCACCAGTCCTGAGACCAATTGTGGCCAATCGTGATCATCTACCATTACTTTAGGCTGTGTGATCTTCCCCCACTGCTCCCGGGGCTTGAGGAAGCTATCAAAGGAGCACACATATTTGCGGCAACCAAGCGAACACACCTCTTCAAGGGGGGACAACCCCAATCTCCTTTGGGAGAGCAGGTGCAATATTGGGCCAAGCGACCCGCTTGGCAACCCGAACCTCATCACCCTTGTAGTCAACCCCTCGCACTGAGAAAAACTCCTTCCAATCAATCCTCACCGTCTTGAGGTTGAGTCGACAAAACCGTTCCACGTCTCCTCTAATGAAGTTCAGGGCCTTGCACTGGACCTCCGTGGGTTGTTTATCTGTGTGTAGTGAACCCCCCCAAATCGAGTTCAGTGACAGACAAACAGCAAGGACCCACATGAGCACCTCTTCCGGGGTTCCAGGCCACAGGTGCAATAGGACATCCCTGGAGGTAGGTAGGGGCAACATGGCGGAAGTCGACACCCTACCCATGAGCTTGCTGCGAAGTGGCAAAACCTCCAAAAGCCGCTGCACCAAAAATGAACCCAACCCCGAAACCGAAGCGTGCCGAAAACGACTCCCAGGCAAATCTTTTTCCGCGTGCGGACTGTGCTCAGCGGACTGAATACCTCCCACCATGGATCCTTCAAAGGCCGGTGGCTGAGGTGGAAAACTGCTTGAAAAGGCGGCAGCCGACGTGACTGCCTCATCAGCCTGGGGCCCCGGCCGGCTCCTTCATTGCATCGCACGCTCTGTCCGACGGCACCGGACCAAAGTGGTCACCGGCCACCTCAGTGCCATCATATCCACTCATCATACGACATCTCTCAACCCCCGGCTCCCGGTCCCAGGAGCCTTTCACTTGGTCGCCTCCTCGGTCTTCTTGAAGTCCTTCCCTTTTCGGCCTGACCCT